CTGCCTGGGTGTTCGGTAGATTGAATCTACCGAACCAACTCACGAATGAACGGACCACCTGGGTAAGGAGTGTGCCAGTGATTTACCTCCCAGAAGCTGTGGTTAACTGCAGCTTAATGGATGAACGCTGGGTGGCCGCTGTTCGTATAGCCGAACACGTGGCAGCGGCCATTTTAAACTCCCGAATGGCCAGCGGTGTTCAGCTCCAAACCTGTGGAACTCAAAATGGACAGTTAAACGCATGGACACTGCTGAGCCACCGACCTCCCTTCTGCCTTCAGTCATTTAGTTGAACGCCGGTCCATTCGGTATCTTAATGTGTGAACAGTGTTACCCCAGATAAATGGAGCCTATTCGTATACCGAAAGACTATGTGAAAGACTTTGGCTCCATGGCGATTGAACTGTATGTATGTGATCTGAGCGCCATTCTGTAATAATGTGCACTCAGATCTAAGCTATCTGGGGATATGTTGAATGTACCTGTTTTATGCAATAGCTGCACAGTTATATATTTTTATGTCTTTTTACTGCCATGTGGCTAATGGAGTTTTGCCTCTGTCCTTGGAGATAATTGGATTACTTCCCAATTATCTCCAGGATAGAGGGGAGGGATTTAATGTACTGTAAGAATGTGTTTTAACCCTGTATGCCTGTGATTGTTCATTTTACCATTTGTGTCCCAGTCTTCCATCTGGTCCTCTAGGGGAGTGTGCACCAGGTGGAAGACCTGCATAAATACCGAGCAGGTAGCCCCATTAAATCAGATCACTGCTTTACCCTCAACATGCAGCTCTGTCTCATTCTTGGGGGGATTTACTGTATGCTTTTAGAGACTGATTGCTAGGAGTGTAAGCCGCTTGGGTGCTTTTCCTGTTCGTCTGCTAGCAGCTATTCGTGAGGTTCCAGTTCGGGAGTTTGGAGCATTCCCTTGTATCCAGTTTGGGCCCCCTGGAGTGACTGGCCCGATTGCAGCTGCGACCCCTGTGACCGCGGTATGTACACCACTGGTGTGTATGTATAAAGTGTACCATCTTCTGCACTGTCTGCTTTGGTTCTTTTTTTCTCCCTCTTCTCCCTCACTCTGATCTTCAGAAAGATATTTATGACCCTCTGCAGGAATATTGTCTATTTCCTATCAAACCTGTGTCTTATCTGCACTCATGTCACTTTAGCCCCTGTATCACAACTCAACTTTGAATTCTATGTGTCGTCTTGCTCAGAAATGCTTCAGACATGAGAAGGGGAGGTTCTCTCGAAAACTTGTCATTGGAAAATTATGTTAGTCCAATAAAAAAGGTATTACAAGATACAAATTGTATCTGTTTTTTACATCTACATAACTGGACTAATCTACAACCCTCTATATGTGTGTATATAGCATAGTTAGTTTACACAGGGTATATATTTTTTACTACATGGTCCATTAGCCTTCTGTTTACTCAGTTTTATCAGTGGTTCACATTGCAAGAGACATAAACTAGTAGTTATAACTATACTGCTTTATAGGCATATATACTGGATTAAAAACTTACTGTGTGAACAGATTATCTTTCCTTAAACTATACTTAATATTCTACATAGTGAAGTGACAGTAGTTTACACCTCTACACCCTCCAACATTGGCATCCCAATGGGTAAAAGGAGGTGAACTAGTGACACAAATTGCAACACCTGTGTCGTCCAAAGGGACAGATCTACTCGTCAAGTGAGAGGGACTGCCCAAGGTATAGTCAAGAGAGTTTGGTGCCAGTGCACTTCCTTCAGGATGCCTGTCAATCACCTAGGACAGTCCACTGAGGGTGCACAATGTAGGGAGCGATGTATCAGTGCTGTCTGCACATTCCTAGTGCCCTGAATGTAAGGCAAGCATGTATAATGATCTGCTCGCACCATACTTTTTGGGCACAGTTCCCTGTTTTCCCCAAAAAAGGGACATCAGCGAACAAATTCAGAACAGTGGGACAAGCCCTTAAAATAGAGACTGTTCCAACAAATTGGGACAGTTGAGAGGCCTGCACTTATAGTCTTAAAGAACACTGCATAGATATATTGCTAATAGACAAGATGTATAATATGTAAATCATATACACTAGCATGTAAGATAGTTTTTTTCAATACACACAAACTATTGCATTTGAATATATGCCTGAAAAGATGGAAAAAAGATAGAACTTCATATCATCAGATTCATTCAGTTTGCACAAAAGCATAATTTGTCTTCCTTTATATTTAAGTTTCTATTTGGTCAACCTTTGCATAAGATTCAGAATAATGATTCTCATATAAGCATACACATTTGTCACTCAAGAAGAAGGGACATTATACCATAATTCAAAATAGAAAATAGAAAAATATATTTGAATATCAACAACCAGTTAAGCAAGTTATGCCCATAAATATTATTACAGAAGACACTAGTTGAAAAATATCACAAATCTCTGCTGGATCATGAAGACATTTATTCAAGGTGCCCTTCCCAAATATTAACAAAAACAGCATTTACAGGATTAATACAAGCATCAAAACCACTACAGCCTGCTGTAGTGGTTATGATGGGAGGAGTACTCTAGCCTTGTTCCCATGTAATAAGACAAACCTTTGCCCCTTTCCTGTGTCTCCTACAGGCCCTTTCCTTGCCCCGTTCCTGTGTCTCCTACAGGCTTTGATGCCCCCTGTTGGTTCAGTGACATGCGGCTTGCTTCTATACTGTTGAAAAAGGTGGAAGCTGCAGCAGTTGACATTCATTGGCTGACATTATGTGCAATGAAAGTTGTGCTGAACTGACATTAGCCAACCAAGAGCTCTAGTTCCGTGGTGGTTTATGATAATCCTATTATTCCTCCAGCTAACAGGTTGATCTCCATATGAGCCATGTTTCAAAGTGCACATACAGACTCAAATAACTGAAGTGGTCATAGTACTTAGAGTAACACTTTAATAGTTAATTAAACAACTATTACTGAAAATTCTTTAATTAATTATTTGTTAAAAAATGTATATTATAATTCTAGCAAAAGCAAAGTATAACATATATAAGTTATCATATATATTTTAACTGCTCTGAAGCATATATGAGCTAGATGGAATTTTTTCCCCAAGTAAGTAGCTCATAAAGCAGACATTAGGCTTTTAGAGTAGGACCTGCCAAAGATGGGGTACATTGATGTTGTGTCAGGCTTATGCAATGTATGATCATATAATGTAACTAAACATAAATGTTTTTGCCTAGATTAAGTTTTTTTAAAAACCTAGCAAAATCTGTCAGCACCGAAATTGCTGTTTAGTGGATAAGGGAGTACACTGGATTTTCTTTTTTATGCAAATTCTGGATGTTTTGGGGGTGTAGGCATGACGTGGGCCAATCAAATGTTAGTTAAAGGATATTAAGACTTCCCTTGTCCAATCCACCTTGCCCTACCGTGGTTTCTGTTTCAGTACCCTTTAGTGCGTTCCTTGATCTATTGTGTCTATTCTGGTATTAACCTTGGCTTTGTATCTGTCTCTGAGTTTATCTTTAACCCTTTCCTGTCTTGTTTGCCCATCTGATTGATAACAGTGTACCTGATTTAGGCTTGTTCTTGATTTCGCTCTCTCTCCGTTACCCTGCCCTCATCTTGTCTCTGATTATGCTTTATCTCTGTCTGATGTTTAGTCCGGCCATTCTAAGGTCCAGTAATACGTTATATCCTAGTCTTGTTCCTTGCTATCCTAAACTCTACGTGTTGGAGTATTACACCGTGACGGGTGAGATCTCACCCTTTCTCAGTCAGTTGTGCCACTTATATCAAAATGTTATCTTTCTTTCCTTCAGAGAAACAAAAAAGTAGATATTTAGCCAACTGAATAAGCAATGTCCTATGATATGAGAATCGTTCGCTATCATTACTAGTAAGGTCAGAACAAATCATTTATTAGATGTATTAAGTGTTATTTTCTGAAAACTGTTCAGAGGCTTAAAAATAATGTTTCACACAATGACATTAAACTTTACAACTTGAATTTTATCTTTTTTTGGTCAATCTTTGTTTATTGGTTCATTTTTTCAAGTGTTATTAGTGATACAGAAATAAGAGACAGATAAGCATTTAAACAACAATGTTTGGTATATAAATTCGAATAAGTACATCCTTCAAGCAATTTCCACCTAGCAGAATGTACATAATGGTTTTTGAGTCACAAGGTAAATTCTTATGTCAGTGAAAGGAGCTCTTTCGCATGACCACCAATTATCCTGTTCTCTGAGGCCCACTGTGCTGCCTTTGGAAGGTAGTTAAAGTATAGAGGTATTATAATCCTATTTTACTGCAAAAATGGCCATTCCCTTCATATTAGGGTTCCCCATGCCATTTCCCTGCATATATTTGTTTCATTTGCTGGGATTCCTGGTGCTGCATGGGTCATGGGAGTAGTCAGTCCCTTTCAGCTAGTCTCTCCTGTTGTCTCCCCATGTTGTTTTTCGTATGGATTATACCTCTAAGAGGTGACATGGGATTATATCCATTCTGCATGGGTGTGGTGTGGATACCTCCAATATGTGTACCATAAAGAGTCGTCCCTAGTGCGAGTCCGAGGCGTACATCGCCCATGCCTCCCGTAATCTAGGTGCACGAAGGCAGAGCGAAAGATAGTGCTAGTTCCATTGATCTGTTTATTAATATAGGTGTGTCAGCCATGGCTTGAGGGACAGAAAAGACGGATGAACACTATTAGGTAAGTTTAGGATGTTAGATCCTCTGTACGTACAAGGAAGAGAAGAAAGAGGAGAAGAAGAGGGAGGATGGGGAGCGAGAGAGAGAGAGAGAGAAAAAGGGAGAGAAGAGGAGGGGGAATAGGGGAGAGAAAAAAAAGAGGGAGTTAAAGTATAGAAATATAGGTAGGGGGAAAGGATGGGGAAGACAGGCTTGATAGTGAGGTACCAGTCCTGCAGGTTGCCCCCGCCCACCTTGTTTCAAAAATGCTCAGAGCCAGTGTCTCCTACCGGGACATGTTCCTGTCATTTTACTCAGTGGGTTGGTGTCCAGGTTCATTCCTGGTGCACAGGTAGTACGTCCATGTCCTCCAGATCTCCTCGTGTTTCTCCATTCTTCCACTCACCACTGCTATTTCAGCTTCCACCTGCCTGATCTCCTCCACTCTTTGGATCCAGGCCTGGAGCATTGGTGGTTCTCTTTGCCACCACAGAACTGGGATAAGCAATTTAGCTGCCGTTAGGAGATGACGAGATACTGTTTTCTTATGTCGATATGGGTTAATCCGATCTGTTGAATAAGATATCTGCTGGGTCAAAAGCAACCACATCATCTGCCACTTTCCGCATCGCCTCGTATTTTCATTCCCAATAAGGTGTTATGAGTAGACAGGACCAGAAAATGAAGAGTTCCCACCCACCCCCTCCCCGCACCTCCAACAGATCTCTGAGGCTTCAGGTAGATATTTATGGATCTTTCTTGAATATTATCTAATTCACATATTTAGTTTTAATATAGTATCCCTAGATATAGTTCCAAAAATATATAGAATTTCAGGAACTTGTATTTTAATTCCAAACATCCCTCCTTTTGCAGTATTATCTGTCTTACATATAATTATATCATTTAAACAAGAATCTGCAAAAATTGTTATTTTTAATTATTTAAGATAAACAAATGATGTCTCTCCAGGCCAATTATCATTCCGTGACTCATATGTTATTCCTCCCACAAAAAGAATGAGTCACAGTGCTATTGTTCTAGTAGGAATTCTAATTCTGGACTAGTAGGAGCCACTGTAACATAATTGTGTGTTTGTGCTTTATCTTTTTTTTTTCTTTTTTTATAATTATGAATTTTGCCAGATGCTAACATAGAATTGAAACAGCGAGAACATACTGTATTTAGTAAACTGTTTTCTGCATCATTATTAAATGTTATTATTTTCAGACCCGGAGTTGCTTGCTTTCTTGAGAAAATGTTTTGGTTCTTTTGCTATCAGGAATTAAATGTATTTAATAACCCACAAATAATAAAATGAATAGAATATATATATATATAAATAAATCTCAGGTCCCAGCACTCGATGCTCCTGGTCTTTCAAATGCTCCGGTGCAATCTCCATCCAAACTGCATATAATTCCAGGAGAGAGCACTCTGGAGTCTTAATGATGAATTTCAATTGAGCAAAAACAGCAATACACATATGAGACATTGGCCTCACTTTGTTTCATGTGTATAGACCATGTACCTGTTTAATCCAGAGGGGGTGATCGTGACAATTTATTGTTAAAACAAGAAGCTTTTTGGATCTACACACTGGAAACCTTATCCCCTGCTAGCTTAAATTAAAAAAAACTTTTTATTTATTTTTTTCTACCGAGAAGATAATGAATTGCTTATAGTACTATTTGGTCTCTTTTCAAGTTTATCTGTATGCATTTTGAGTACATATATACATATTTTGCTGCCGGTCCTCCATGACAGGAGGAAGTGCTTATTGTATAGTTATCTTTTTTGTATAACTTTCTCTTCTCATTACAAATATTTAAAGTGTATATTTTGATCAGATACTGTATTAATTGTTACATAGTACAGTTCTGTTACAATGTTTGCTATTCTTACTATGGCAGTGTACCCCTATTCCTCCTTTGGTTACAGAATCGGAACTTGTACATACTCTTTTTTTCTTCTTTCTTGTTTTCCCCTTCGCTTGCTATCTCACTCACAAGTTGTATAAGGGGTTACTTTCACTCTTTACGTGATTTGAAATTGTTCACATCATCAATGACGTCACTGAGACCCGTTGTCACCTTTCACCCTCCAATCAGATTACTTTATTCACATATTTAAGCCATTCACTTCACTTACACATTTGTCTTGAAAAACATCTGAATAGACTGAAACATCGACCTGCACGTTGTGTATTGCTGTTTTGCTCAATAAAGCAACAGTTGAAATTCATCATTAATACTCCAGAGCTTTCTATTGGGATTATATATATATCGCGGGCCAGCACTCAAGGTATCTCCCTGTCTTGCACTTGCCTTGGTGCATAACTCCTTGCTAAAATATAAAATCTAAGAAAAAAAAAAAGGTCTTTGTAAATAATCTTTCTGCTTTATTTTGCAGTAATATAAACCAATCTGTTGACGTTTCAGTCCGACTCTGAACTTTGAAAAAAATGTATTAAATAAATAAGAAGTATGTATAGAAGTGTAACAGTAATTGTCAGTTGAACCATAATGTTTTGTAGCCACATGATCTTTCTGAACTTGTGACTTAAAGTAAATGATGTACTTCTAATTGCTATATCATTTCAAATAGTAGATTTATTAGTTTGTTTGATAATCATTTATCTGCTTGGTACTACGTCCTAACTGAATCGTTGCATAGAAACATCAGAGTTCTTTCTTTGCACTTGTATTTAGATATGCACTGCAGTACAGAGAACATTTATTGATCGCCCCACTAAAAGGCCTTATTGGTGGTTACGTTCAATAGATGAGCATATCATTTTCTTAATCAGCAAACTCTAGGGTGACCTCTATTTGACAGCATGGTTGAATCTATGCTTAAATGAATAACTCATTTTAAACAGCTCTGCATTGACATTAGCAAACACAAATTTACTGTACTGGTAAAAAGGGGCACAATAACAATTTTCTTTGTTTTAATCATCACCATTGCTTGTATACAACATTTAAACTTAGAATATATTACAAAAATGATATAAGATAAATTAATAAACTTTACAAAAACAACTGCAACTAACAAACACACCACCACTTTAGAAATGAAAATGTAATGCAAAAGAAATATCATGTACTCAAAATATTATAGATTAAACTGCCAACTGTGTTCTGCCAAGCGTATATGTATATACTGTATATTAATTTGTTATCTGTAGTAAATACTAAAGTTGTCTATATGTGTTAATTATAGTTACAACAGTTTTTAAATTGCAGCTCTATCTATATCATCTGTGTCACTGTATCACAGTCTATCTCTGTCTGCAACACTTTTAGCTGGAGTCATGGTTTACTGACTCTCATAGTTTTGTGTATTGATTTATGTTAATGTCCTATATAATTTAATTAAGGTAACTTTACTATTGTACAGAGTGGTTCTTTCGGGATTTCTCCCATCAGAGTTCACATAGCTCCAGGAACTGTTATAATTAACTTATATGTTGTATATTGCACAGCACGGATATCATTTACATGTGATATCTTAATACTGTAATGCTTAAATATTCCATTTGATTTACTAAACAGGAGAAATTATCAACCTCCAGATGATGACAGTGCTCTAATGGCATGCACTTCTAGTGAATCAAGTTTGCTCCATATTTGTTCAACTTTTTTCCCAGCAAAACTTTTATACATCCTCCATTCATCATTGATGCCTGTCATTCTTCTAAAAGTAAGCAAACATTTAACTGTTGGTGGAATTTAATTCTATATTTGAGTCTATATCATGCAGTCATATTGATCATCAAGTATTTCATTAATTTGTTGCTGAATCTCTAACACAAGCAGCGCTAGGCATTGTATCTTGAATATTAAACAATACGTATTACATTGAGACAATACTGTTTTGCTTCATAATTGCTATTCAAAGTGGTATCACAAAACTAGCAAAGGCCATGAGGATAAAGCTAGCATGAATGTAAGAAATCTCTGCATGTAGTCAACCTTGATGTCCATTATACACTTTATGCACACTAATGTTGCCATTAACCATCTAGGTAATCTGACTAGTCAACAATGGTACCTATGCAGATTACACATGCATAGAACACTTTGCATACTGCTCTATTGGCTTTTGGTTCCTTGGAACCATGTGAAAGAAATAAAATGCAATAATATTTAATACATTGGAGGGAATGACAAAGCAACACAAAGAAGTCCACATGCAACCCATCCAAATGGAGAAAGAAAAAAAAAATAAGATAAGAGAACATGTATGGTAGAGGGAACATCAAAGTAGTTGCATTCCCTGTTTGTGGTTGATGGGTTTGGCATCTCAACATGTAGCTTTTAAGAAAAACAGATATCAAAGAAGCTGTACGACAAACTATCTCAGAAATTTTTTCTGATAACACGAGTACACCACTGTCCACATAAATATATTGTTGGCCCATAAGGCGGTGGTATGGGGATGCCTTATCCAATAGGTTGCTTAAGGAAGAAGACCTATAACAAAAAGTTTAATGAGCTACTCCAATCTTTAACCAAACTAGAGAGACAACACAAACAAAATCCACCAAAAAGAACAAGGCATTGCGCACAGAAATGAAAACATTACAACTACACATTACAGAACGTAACATGTTTAAAATCAAACATAAATACTACTCACAAGGCAATCAGGCAGGCAAACTGTTAGCTTTAAGTCTGAAGCAAAAGTACATTTAGACTACAATCCCTTTCCTTAACACAGCAGAGGGCATAAAGATAACGAAACCTATACATATATTGGACAATTTTTGCAGACTTCTACGAATCACGCAATAATCTTAAAGATAATCCCAAAGTAGGATAACCATCCCAAGTAAGCATAGACAACTTTTTAAATACAATACACCTCACACAAACACCATTGCCATCAGTTACAAATTTATAAACAAACTTCTCTTACAGATTCAGAGCCATTGAAAGCTTACCTAAACAAAAAGCCCCACAACATGACAGATTCTCAAATGTTTACTACATACATTTTGCAGAACTATCGGCAGTCCTGGCCAAACTTTTTAACAAGATTATGGCCACTGGTAAAATCTCACTAGAGATTCTAGAGGCGAACATAATTACAATTCCAAAACCAGGTAAACCAACCATGAAATGCAAAACTTTTCGATCAATTTCCTTGTTGAATGAAGACACAAACATTTTCACAAAAGTATTGGCAGATTAAAACCCCTGCTGACATCTGTAGTGTCAAAGGAGCAAGCTGGCTTTGTCACAGGACACAAGGTGGGTGACAACACTAGACGATTCATGGACTTCTTGGAGATTATGTAAAGAAGGAGGTGTCGGGGTTTTTGCTGGCGCTTGACGCCGAAAAAGCCTTTGACCGCCTACACTGGGGTTAGATAAAATCAGTTCTCTAAATTTGGTTTCCCTCCAAAGTTCTAAGATCTATATGCTCTCTACACATCCCCTCAGCAAAAATAATGAATACCTGATTCCTCTCGAGGATATTCTTATTAACAAATGGTATGCAACAGGGGTGCCCTCTTTCCCCACTTATTTTTATACTAACTGTGAACCCACATATACAGCCGTCTTAATCTCTGTGGCTCACATCACTCAGCGAATGGAACGC